AGTTACCTGCCAAACTAATTGGAATTTAGTGTTTACATCTAGGGAAGTCAAACAGATAAATTGCTTTAGGGTAAAATCTGAAACCAGCCAAAACAAATCCCCCACAAAAAATATTGATTGAGAGTCTCCTGTTTCAGAGTAAGTATAAAAAGGGCTAAACCCATTGATTAGGGCCTCACGCAGGATGATTATCCTAAAGTTTGGATCCTGTGTTCTGACTAGCTTGCCTATCCTCTGAGATGGTAACCCCAGTTTGAGTGATTGATAATCCCAGTATGCTTAAGTGTTGTGACTGTGATATTGAGATGATTAGTTATTCTTAAATATTCATTTTTTCCTTTTATAAATTAATAGAACTTCAGCTTTTTAGCTGGGCACATGAATACACAAAATAAAGATTGCATTTTATACCCTTCCTTGTAGTTAAGTTTGACCACGTGAATACATTTTTTTGTCAAAAGAATATAATGAGAAGTCATGTGCAGCATACAGAAGCTATGTTTGAAAGGAAAAGGGGCCTATATTCACTTTTTCCCTTTTTTTCTTCCTGCTTGCTGAAATATAGACATGGTTGCAGGAGCTGTAGCAGTCATTTTTAACATTGAGGTGGCCCATAGCAAAGCCACAAGATAGAAGAAACCTGGGACCCTGATACTGTGGAACTGCTGTGTCACTTTAACTGCCTTTACCTAGACTTTTACATGAGGAATAGAGATACATTTTTACTTTTAGCTGCTTTTGCAGATGTGTCTAATCTTGATATATATAGGAAAGTGCTCTCAATTCACTTGAAATGAAAATATTTGTCCTCATTGTTAATTATATTTCCAAACCAGAGAATATATGGAAAAATAAGGATTGTATCAGTTACCTATGACTACTATAATGCTGTGTAACATAACCACAACATAGTAGTACACAATACCACTTTTTTCTATATGTCCCTCATCCTTCAACAAGAGTCTCATGGCAATGATAGACATGCAAAAGAACAAGGACATTTTCAAGCCTCTGCCTGTCTCATGGTTGTTAACATTCCATTGTCCAAAGCAAGACATGAGTGTAGATTGAGAATCAAGGGGAGAGAAAATATATTCTGTCTCTACATGTGAGAAACTGCAAAGTCACTTGGCAAGAGGCATGGAAACAAAAATAGGTAAATAATTGGGGCTGTTACTGCAATCAGTCTAACTTTAGTACTAATGCTTTTAAAATAAGCTTAGAATATATTTGGGGGTAGGTTTTCATAGTCATCATAATAATACTCTCGATATACTTGGTATTTATTTTCAATACTGAACAGAATTTGACATGTCAGAGAATGTGGCCAATAGTGATTCCCATTTGAAATGTTTAATTTTGTCATTAATCTTAGTCTTTAGATTTATAGTTAGAAGGTATAACATAACTTTACTGAGTAAATAATGTTGAGGGTCTAAGAGGACTTGAGATTCATTATATTTAAAATGGAATTTTTAGATTTTCTAGGATTAAGTACTTATGAAAATTCAGTTGTCTATTCGACAATGCAGGTATGAACCTCATGGGTTCACTTAAAAGACGATTTAAAAATATTATTGAATGTATTGGGGTGACACTAGTCAATGAAACCATAGAAGTTTCAAGTATACAACTCTCTAATATATCATCTGCATACTGCATCATGTGCTCACCACCCAAAGTCAAGTGTCTTACCGCCACCATTTATCCCTCCTTTGTCATCTTCTACCTCCCCCCACTCCCCTTTCTCTCTGGCAATCATCATACTGTTCTCTGGGTCTGTGTTTTCTTCTTAACTCCTTCATCTTAAAAAATTCATTTACAAATGGACACGTGCAGTTCACACTTATGTTGTTTCAAGTCAACTGTGTTTTCAGTCAATAGTTGGGAATTCACCAATGTGGAGGGCAGACTTGTTATACTTAGCTTTCCAACTTGGTCAGTGTCCCTAACACCTGTGTTATTCAAGGGTCTACTGTACTTAATTTAGTGTAATTCTTAAGTGTTAGTTTTCCTGAAATGCTTTTCCTGACTATGCTATAAAAAATGACTGTATCTCCTTACCTTGCCTTCCATAAACACTTATCATTATTGGGATTGCATTATATATGTATTTTAACTACCAGTTGTACCCACTAAAATGTACTCTCCATAAAGGTAAGAATGTTGTTTGGATTGTGGGCAGATCCAGAACACCTATAAAATTACTTGGTATACAGAAGGTGCTCAAAAAGTTTGCTGACTGACTGACTGAATAAATGAAGCTTTTATTTTTTAGGCCATGCATTTGAAATGCTTAAAAAGAAATTTGAGTATAATACATTTATTAATGTAATTTAAATGTTGTAAGTGAATGAACTGAATTGTAAACAGGACTGCTTGATTTCAATATGTTCAACTTGAATTGACTGAATAGTAATCAAAGACTTATTAGTCAGTGCCTGTTAAAATGTATTATGTTTATAAATAGAATAACAGAATTTTCAAATTGATATTGAACACCTAAAGGAAGGCTACATTGTTACATGTTACTTTAGTAATTTGGAAATTAGTTTAAAAATAAATTTAAAAATTAAAAGGTAATAGTAACTGGTCTTTTCTGAAGATGAAATCATCTCATGTGAGGTAGCATGAAGCAATGAAATGTCTGAGTTCCAGAGAAAGAGCAAGAAGACAATTATTTGCTGGTATTGCTATCAATGAGGGAGGATGATGATGGTATACCACAGGAAATGTAGAAGGTTAGCTATAATGGAGGAAGTAGGGTACTCTGTTTTAAAGAGATGGGTAAACCTTTCCAAGTCTCCAAGACTAAAATTTTATAACTTACTGTAAAATAATGAGGCGCACTTTTGGGCAATAGACATTTCATCCAAAGAAATGTTGAACTTTTGAACAGCTCATTTACTAGGTTATGCACCTACTCAAATGAGGCTATGTTTACACAAACATTTTTTGGCATGGGGTTTTTGAAATTGCTTTGATAATTAACCCATTCCACATGAAAATCAGTTTCCTTACTAACAGGTTACTTAACTCCCTTACATACAATTTCATTCCTCAGGCTTAACTTCTTTCCATGTTCTAGCTTCATAACCTTGATTCCTTCAGCCTTCCACTGCTGTGCTGGTCCTGATATAGAAATGATCTGGCAGAGGTCTTTATAGAGCAGAGTCCAGATCTGACTCAGAATGGAAACTTGCTGAAAGTACAAGAGGAAGCAGATAAACTATGTTAGATTACTTGATGTGTTGTACGTTGTCATACTAAGTACATTGGATGAATATCATTAATTACATTACTACAGTCAATCAAGTCAGAGAAGCCTGTGTTCCAGGTGAAAACTCCCTAAATCTGAGGCATCTGCTTGTGTAAAAGGTAAGATGAGTTACATTTACAAAGTTTTGTGCTCAAAACTCTGTTTACTATGTTTTACCTGGGTCACAAACTCAAGACCTCTGGAAGCAAGGCAGGTATACAACACAGGTGGTGACTATGATAAACTGGAAGCAAGGGGACAGCCATCCCCCAACACCTGTCTAATGTTGCTATGCAGATTTTGAGGCCAGCAGTGCCTGATCCTCTGACTTTCTTTGAAAAAAGAAGCAAACATATGGATTATTTTATCTGGAATTTCCTCATTTATAAATGTTTTCTATTATTTTGTAAAAATTAAAAACAATGGTCAGGAGAAACAAAATGCTCCTGGAGACTGGATTTAGCCACTGGATCAGTTGGTGAACTTTGAAGCCAGGGTTCCTTGTGATCTTGCTTTCCTCATTAGTTCTTTCTCTCTTAGAAGGTATACATGTTGAGTATACTAACAACTATTTTGAATGAAAAATAGGTACCTAATGGATGATATAATTTCTACAAGGATGCAATCTTTTACATCAATAGTAACCTAGATGCATGAACTGAGGCTGGAAAATTTATGGAATGTCAGCAATAAATACATGTGACAACTGTATTTATTTTCTGATTTTTTTTATTATGTTGTATGATGACTCAGAGGAAAGGGTCCTTTTTTTTCTTTTTTTAAAAATTGTTCTATTATAGTTGTCCCAATTTTCCCCTGTTGCTCTACCCTGCCCACCCACCCCCATTCCCACAGTCGGATAAGCTGTCACTGGACACTGATAGGAAACTTACTTGGAAAATTTGACTAAACCCCACTAGAGGGTAAATGACAGAGTCTGGGGAAATAAATTATTCTTTTAGGCAATTGTATCCATTTTTCAAGGCTATTTCTGGAAATAAAGATTTAGGGAAGGATGCTGCTTAACAAGGGCTTACCATGGATGGATTTTCCTGTTCTTGCTGGCAGCTTAATGTGATTGCTATGAATCAGTGGTAGAATTAGATGAAATTGTTGACTAAATTGGAGCTTCTGTTTTAAGTCAGGTGTACAATATATTGTTTTGAAGTACTTTTTAAATCGAGTCTTAGAATCACTGTTATTAAATTTGAATGTCAGAAAGACAAGTAAAACTCATCAACTTCAGAGATTCCCTACTAGAAAGCCTCGTTTACTGTATTCATTGCACAGCACTAATTGTGACCAGTTCCCCACTCTACTCAGCTTGTGCTGGAATAGTCCTGTTTTATAGTATAATACATGAGCTACTACCTAAAATCCCAACCCATTCCTAATTGTAGACTTGATCATTCACATTAACATAATGATGACAATTGAAGTAATAAAACCTAGATCTTTCTCATAAAAGGTTTGGGTACTATAGCAGAGGCATTCAGTGCCAGGCCCATATCCCTTCAGTTCTCACTGTAGATGCAAAAGGGCTTCTTACTTCAAGTGTTTGCTGCTGTCTGAGGGTTTTCTTTTCTTTTCTTTTTTCTTTTCTTTTCTTTTTTTCTTCTCTTTTTCTTTTTTCTTTTCTTTCTTTTTTCTTCTTTTCTTTTCTTTTTTTCTTTCCCTCCCTCCCTCCCCCCTCCCTCCTTCCCTTCCTTTTCTTTCTTTCTTTCCCTTCCTTTCTTGCTAGCTCACTTGCTTGCCAAGGAGGCCAGTTCACCTTGTGAAGGCAAGATCCCAATAGGAAGCTTTCAACTAATGACTGATGAGGAATTGGTGGATAAAAACACCACAACTTCTTTGCTGCTCAACTGAAGTATGTCTAAGATGTGTTCTCACTGTCTCCCAGCATTCTCTACAGTGGTAAGTAACTAGGTTGATAACATACCTTTTTATTAGCTTTCTTCTCTTCCTTATCTCATCTCCCAAATTCCATACTAGTGTTCACTGTGATTACTTCCCAAAACTACTTGGACTCAAGCCTTTGTCTAAGGATCTGCTTTCAGGAAAACCTAAGCCAAGACAGTAATACTGATCTAGTACTTCAAAATTCATTGTGACCAAAATTTTACATACTACTTAAGAACATTAGACTGCAGTTTAGGATCACTTTGCGGCCTTAAAATTAAATGAAAGTCTATAAAAGACTTTCTACTTATTGATATTTTATACTTATTGATGTTAATAAAATGTTGTACATGGTTTAGGGCATAGATCACTTCAGAACATATTAAAGGAGGTCTCTGGGATGCAGAATTCCTAGATGATTGCAGGAGAGCTATTAGTATAAGGTCTATATCACCAAGGAAGACACATGAATGCCATAATGTGGAATAGGACCTTGGCACAGAACAGGGGCTGGCAAAATACAGCCTATGAGCTACCTCTGGCCTGCTGCCTGATTTTGTAAATAAAGTTTTTTTTTTGTAACATAACCATGCTCATTTGTTTATAGGTTGTCTCTAACTGCGTTTGTGCAACAATAGCAAGATTGAATAGTTGCAACAGAGATCATTTGGCCCACAAAGTGCAAAATATATACTCTGTGGTTGTTTTGGAAATAATTTTCCAACCCCCAATACAAAATACCTTACAGTGCTTGTCTACTTTAATTTAGTTTAGTTTTTAAAAATTAGTAAGGCACCTCATTGGACATGGTTTGCACTTCCTACCTCATACCAATGGACAACTTAATAATCCTGCACTGAGTGCATATACAATGGCTTAAAAAAAAATAAATGACATATAGTGGCAATGTGGAAATTCAGCATTGAACATGACTTGTTGGCTGATTGAAAGACCTAATGTTAATTTCTGCAAAGTTAATATATATGGACATGATCTTACTTGTAAAGATACAAAATGGTGTGGTACAATGAAGGCCTGGAATTTTGGATGTGTGTGTGTGTCTGTATTTAATAATTCTGTCTTGAAAAACTCAAACCTATAGAACAATTGTAAAAGTGATGCAATAAATACTCATATACCTTTCATCTAGATTCATCAATACTTTACCTTTTATTGAATCTGTCTTACGTATCTCTCAAGAATAAGGATGTTCTGCTCTGGCTGGTGTGGCTCAGTGGATTGAGCACCAGCCTATGAACCAAAGGGTAACTGGTTTGATTCCCAGTCAGCTCACATGCCTGAGTTCTGGGCCAGGTCCCCAATAAAGGGTGTACAAGAGGCAACCACACATTGATGTTTTTCTCCCTTTCTCTCTCCCTCCCCTCTACCTGTCTAAAAATAAATAAATCTTTAATAAGGATGTTCTTTTCTATTAAATTTTATTGATTAATAAAACTATATAGGTTTCAAGCATACAATTCTATAATATACTACCAAAGTCAGATCTCCTTCTATCACCATATATTTGACTCCTTTTACCTTTTACTACCTCCCTCCACCCCCTTTCCTTCTGATAACCACTGTACTGTTGTCTGTGTGTATGAATTTTGTTTGTCTATTTATTGCTTTATGTTTTATATCCCATATGTGAGTGAAATCATATGGTTCTTGACTTTTTCCATCTTACTTATTTCACTTAGCATGATATTCTGAAGATCCATCTATGTTGTGAAAAATGACAGTGTTTCATCATTTCTTATGGCTGAGTAGTATTCCACTATATATAAGTACCACATCTTCTTTATGCAATCCTCTATTAAAGTACACTTCCGTTGTTTCCATGTTTTGGCTACTATGAATAATGCTGCAATGAACATAGGGGCACATATTATCTTTGAGAATACAGTCATACCTTGGTACTTGTTGGCTTTAGAACTCATCAAACCCTGTACTCACCGCATTTCAATAAGAAAAAAAATGTTTCAGCACTCAACCCATGCTTGGGACTCGTTGCACTTGCTAGAATTTGTATGAGTCACCACGCCACTCTGCAAAGAGAAAATGCTTCATTGTTTAGTACTCTTCAGTTTCAGCACTCCTCAGAAGTTCCTGAGTGAATTAATATTAGTACTGAGGTACCACTGTAATTGTTTTCAGATTTTTTGGGTAGATACCAAGAAGACAGATTACTGGGTCATATGGTAACTATTCTTAAAATTTTGAGGAAACACCATACTGTTTTTGCATGGTGGCTGTACCAGTTTATATTCCTACCAGCAGTGAACGAGGGTTCCTTTTCCCCACCACAACCTAACATTGGCTATTACTTGTCTTGTTGTTAATAGCCAAAAAGTCAACCAACCAAATAGGGGAAGATATTTACAAACAACATCTCTGATAAGGGGTTAATATCCAAACCATATAAAGAATTCATAAAACTCAACAGCAATAAAAAGCCCACAGTCCAATTAAAAAATGGGCAGAGAACCTGAACAGACACCTCTCACAGGAACACAGAAAAATGGCCAACAGATATATGAAAAGATGTTCAACTTCACTAGCTATTAGGGAAATACAAATCAAAATGACAATGTAAAATTTGTAAATATAACCACAATACATTTATCAAATTCAGGATATTATCATCGATACAATATTATCTTAAACAGTCCATTTTCAAATTTCACCAAGTGTCCCAATTTTGTTCTTTATAGCAGTGCTTCTCAAATGTTAGCATGCTTCAGAATTACCTGGTATACTTGTTAAAACACAGATTCCAACCTGACTGGTGTGGCTCAGTTGGTTGGACGTTGTCCCACAAAGCAAAGCTAAAGTTGCTTGTTCAGTTCCTGGTCTGAGCGTGCACAGAAGGCAACTGACTGATTTTCTCTTTCACATAAGTGTTGCGCTCCATCTCTTTCTCCCTCCCTTCTCCTCTGTTTAAAAATAATAAAATCTTTTAAAAAATAAAAGATAGATTCCTGGACCCCACTCCAGAGATTCTGATATAGAAAATTTGGGGTGGGGCCCAAATATTTTTCAATTATTATGGGCTCTCAAGAGATTTGGTCAAAATGTAGCCAGTTTAATAGCATCCATCTATTTCACCTCCCACCCAACCCTACCCCATACCCCCAGATCCAGGATACTGTCTAGGATCTTGTACTGCATTCAGTATCATGTTTCATTAGTCTTCTTTAAGCTGGAATAGTTCCTAAGTCTCCCCTTTCTTTGTTTTTCTTGATATGACATTTTTAAAGAGAATATGCTAGGGTTTCCCCCACCCCCACAGAATATCTTTCAGTTTGGGATTACCTGTTGTTTTCTCATGATCAGATTTAGATAATACATTTTTGACAGAAGTACTACAGGAATAATGTTGATCAACTTGCCCCCTTTGTTGGCGATTTTATTTTATTTTTAAATTTTTAATCTAAATATTTTTTAAGATTTTATTTATTTATTTTTAGAGAGAGGGGAAGAAGGGAGGGAGAAAGAGAGGGAGAGAAACATCAATGTGTGGTTGCTTCTCACACCCTCTACTGGGGTCCTGGCCCACAACCCAGGCATGTGCCTTGACTGGGAATCAAACCAGTGACCTTTTGGTTCACAGGCCACTCCATACACCATCCAGGGCTAATCTAAATTTTTTTTTAATTTTTTTCAATTACAGTTTATATTTAACATTATTTTGTATTAGTTTCAAGTGTACAACATCTTTGTTTGGTGATTTGAGTTTGATCGCTAGGATAATGTTGAGTCTACTTGATTTTTCCTTTGTAAAGGTGACTTTTTTACTCTGTAATTAATGGGTAACCTGTGGGGAGATACTTTTATCCTGTTCCGCAACAAACTTTCATCCAATCTATTTATGGTTCTTGCCTCAATTATCACCTAGGTTGCTAAATATTTTTTTAAAGATTTTATTTATTTATATAGAGAGAGGAAGGGAGGGAAAAAGAGGGAGAAGAACATCGATGTGTGAGTGAAACATCAACTGGTTGCCTCTGGTATGGGCCCCAACCAAGACCAAACCCACATGTGTCCTGGCCAGGAATCAAATGGCTTTGCAGAATGACACCCAAACCACTGAGCCACACTGGTCAGGGCACTACTATTGATTTTCTAACTCCTTCATTCCCTCTATGTTTATTAATTCCCACTTTATAGTAAAGAAGAACTTTCCCTTCTTTTCCCATGTTTGCTTGTTATTGTTTTATGGGGTCAATATGAACTAATGGTCTCTTATTCAATGGGTTACAACCCTTTGAGCTCAAATTGTCTCTGATTTGACCAGTGCCATCATCTTGAAACTGACTCCTATGTCATTTTAACATGGCTCCATCAGTTGTTGAATACTCTAGAAACATAAATTATAAAATATTTCTTTTTTATTAATATTAGTTGACTTTATTTTTTAGAGGTCTAAAACTTCCTTTTTATTGTTGTTCAAGTACAGTTGTCTCCACTTTTACTCCACCATGCCCCCCACCCCACCCACCCCTGCCTCCCACCCTCAGACTTACCCCTTGTGCTTTGTCCATGTGTCCTTATAAAATATTTAATTAATGTGTACATTTATCAGTCACTGAATACCTGCTGTGCCTTATGCATGGGTAAGATAAGTTAAATATACTTTTTTTCACCAAAGAACTAAAATCTCACTTAATATATAGTAGGACTTGAGGCTTCCAGCCAAGATGGAAGCTTAGGTAGATACACTTTGCCTCCTCACACAACCAAAAGAAGGACAACAACCAATTAAAAAAAAAAAAACCAGAACTGCCAGATAATCAACTTGTATGGAAATCTGACAACCAAGGAGTTAAAGAAGAAACATTCATCCAGATTGGTAGGGGGGGCAGAGATGGGCAGCTGTGGTGGAGAGGATGAACAGCAACGTAGCAGCTGGTAGACCAGGATATCTCACGTTCATGTGCAGATAATCCAGGAGGAACAACTGGGGAGTGAGACAGACCACACAACCCAGGGTTCCAGTGCCAGAAACTAAAGCCTCAAAACCTCTGTCTGTGAAATTCTGTGAGGTTTGCAGTGGTAGGTGAAATTCCCAGTCTCACAGGAAGAGTCCATTCGAGAGGCCCACAAGATGCTAGAACGTATACAAGACAGCCCACCCAGGAATCAGCACCGGTGCAGCACCTGATAGGGCACAATACACTTGTGGGAAGTGGGGGAAAATGACTGAAAGTGAGGCAGGAGCTGAGCAAGCAGCATTATTCCCTCTCTGACCCCTCCCTCACATACAGTGCCACAATGCATGGAAGTGGGTTGCTCTGATCTCATGAATACCTAAGACTCCACCCCTTACAACCTAACAGCTGCACCAAGACAAAGAAATATGGCCCAAATCAAAGAACAGATCAAAACCCCAGAAAAAAACTAAGTGATGAGCAGATAGCCAATCTATCTGATGCAGAGTTGGATGCAAAACACTGGTAATGAGGATGCTCACAGTAATGATTGAGTGCAGTTGCAAAATAAAGAAAGAAGTGAAGGCTATACAAAGTGAAATAAAGACAAATATGCAGGGAACCAACAGGGAAGAGAAGGAAACTGGGGCTCAAATCAACAATTTCAAACAAAGGGAAGAAATAAACATTCAACCAGAACAGAATGAAGAAACGATAATTCAAAAAAAATTAGGAAAAGCTTAGGAAGCCCTGGGACAACTTTAAACATTCCAACATCTGAATCATACATAGGTGTGCCAGAAGGAGAAGAGGAAGAGCAAGAAATTGAAAACTTTTTAAAAATTTTATTTATTTATTTATTTATTTATTTTTAGAGGGAGGTGAAGGGAGGGTGAAAGAGAGGGAGAGAGAAACATCAATATCTGGTTGCCTCTTGTTTCCCCCCTACTGGGGACATAGACTGCAACCCAGGCATGTGTCCTGACTGGGAAATGAACCGGTGACCCTTTGGTTTGCAGGCCAGCGCTCAATCAACTGAGCCACACCAGCCAGGGCAGAAACTGAAAATTTATTTGAAAAAATAATGAAGGAAAAGTTCCCCAATCTGGTGAAGGAACTAGTCATACAAGTCCTGGAAGCTCAGAGAGTCCCAATGAAGTTGGATCCAAGGAGAAACACACCAAGACACATCATCATTACATTACCCAAGATTAAAGATAAGGAGAGAATATTAAAAGCAGCAAGAGAAAAGGTCATAATTACCTAAAAAGGAGTTCCCATAAGACTATCAGCTGATTTCTCAAAAGAAATCTTATAGGCAAGAAGGGGCTGTAAAGAAGTATTCCAAGTCATAAAAGGCAAGGACCTACATCCAAGATTGCTCTATCCAGCAAAGCTTTCATTTAGAATGGAAGGGCAGATAAAGTGCTTCCCAGATAAGGTCAAGTTAAAGGAGTTCATCATTACCAAGCCCTTATTTTATGAAATGTTAAAGGGACTTATCTAAGAAAAAGAAGATAAAAAATATGAACAGTAAAATGGCAACAAGCCCACAACTATTAACAACTGAACCTAAAAACAAAAACTCAGCAAACACCTAGAACAAGAACAGAATCACAGAAATGGAAATTACATGGAGGATTATCAGCAAGAAAGGGGAGGGGGAGGGGTAGAATGGGAGAAAAGGTGCAGGGAATAAGAAGCATAATTGGTAGGTACAAAATACGCAGGGAGAGGTTAATAATAGTATAGGAGATGGAGAAGCCAAAGAACTTTAATGTATGACCCATTGGCATGAACCTGAGGGGGAAGAAATGTTGGAGGGAAGGGGGGTGCAGGGTGGAGGCGGATAAAGGGGAGAAAAAATGGGACAACTGTAATAGCATACTTAAAAAATATAGTAGGACTCACATAAGTAAAGCCATTAGAGACTAATTGAACATGGTGTAGTCCATTTGTAAGTTTTTTTAATTATTCCTTTCTAAAACTGATCCATAGTACTCAACCAAAAATAGCAACACATTTTATGATTGTGAAATAGGAAACAATCCATTATTAGTCTGTAAGCAAGGCTTATTTCTATAATACCATTAGGAGCGAGTCAATCAGCAAGACACACCTGAGGTTTTTCTCTCTGCCTTCAGTGTATGAAATGCAAATTTTATGTAACTAGGCAAACAATTTTGGGTTTTGGAATGTCATATATCACATAAAATTGTGGGATGGTCTCTAGTTTAGTAGGTATTTGGCTAGTTTTGTAGTTTGCTTGCTAATTATTGCAATTAGTTTGGTGTTATAAATTCCAACTTTATATAGTACAGTCATTTAAGACCATCTCATTGTATCCTCTATGTCTCCTACCATTCCTTTTGTATTTTCTTTTCCCTTCTCTTTTTAACATTTCTCAATGATTGAATTGAATTTAACAAATACATGGGTGGGTAAAAGTAGGTTTGCAGTTGTTTACATGGAAAACAATACAATAATTCATAAATAATAATACAAGAAGAAATTCTGTGCTTTGCATACTCACAACTGCAAACCCACTTTTTTCTTTTTATTGAATTTAATGAGATGACATTGGTTAATAAAATTATATAGGCCTCAGGTATATAATTCTATAGTGCATCATCTGTATATTGTATTATGTGTTCACCACCCAAGTAAAGTCTTCTTCTATCCCTCTATATTTCTTTCAAACAAGTTTTTTCTGACCTGTCTGTTCAGAATACCATCTCTCTCCCATCTTTTCTAATATCTAGTAATACTCATCCATTGAATTATTTCCTTTAACTGTTTTAATTTTTCCTGCTCTGGATATTTTAATTTTTTCAAATATGTTATATCACTTATAGTTTCCAATTCTCTCCTGTAAATATCAATCTTGTCTTTTATGTCCTTTAACATTGTAAACATAGTCATTTTAAGATCTGTATCTGATAATTCCAGTATCTGGAGCCTTGTGGCCCTGTTTCTATTGTTTGCTGTTTCTGCTGGGTTTTAGTCATGAAAAAAAAGCCTGAAGTACTGTTGTCTGAGCATCCACAGTTCTGACAACATCAAAAGAAGAATTTTTTTCCCTGGAAAGAATGTGGATGTGTCAAGAATGAATGAGTAGACATCCATAAAAAAAATGAAGTCCTACTAGTTGTGATGGCATGGATGGACATAGAGGGTATTATGCTAAGTGAAACGAGTCAGTCAGAGAAAGACATGCCATATGATTTCACATATATGTGAAGTCTAAAGTACAAAATAAACAAACAAAATAGAAATGGGCTAATAGATACAGAGAACAGACTGATGGTTGCCATAGCAGGAAGGGCTGTGGGATGGGGTAAAAAAGGCAAATGGATTGAGAAGTACAAGTTTGTAGTTACAGAATAGTCATGGGGGTGTAAAATACAGCATAGAAAATATAGTTCATAATATTGTAATAACTATGTATGGTGCTAGTGGGTACTGGGAATATAGGCAGGAACACTTTGTAAAGCATATGGTTGTTTAACCACTATGCTGTAGGCATGAAACTAATACAAAATCATGTTGAAAAAATGCAAATGTATAGTAATTGTGAATTCTGTAAGAGATAGAATTGACCGGAAATTTAAATTAAATATATAAAAGTGGCAAAAAGAATGGATGAATAGAATTACAATGTAGTAGAATCACAGTCTATAAAACTACAGTAAAACAGTGGTTAAGAGTAAAAGGGTTAGATCCAGGCTGCTTGAGTTCAAATTTGACCTCCTTTACTTAATATTTGCAAGCCTCAGTTTCCGCATTCTTTAAATGTAATATTAACATATCTATCTCATAGAGTTATTATAAATATTTAAAGAGATAATGCATATAAAGTGCTTACCTCAATGCCTGGCAAGCACTCAATAATGTTTATTATTATTGTTGTTGTTGTTATTTATTATTATTAGATATTCAGAAGAAAGTCTCAAATTTTGGCACTGTAGGAATCATTTGAGATCATGTTGAAATGCATTCATGCATTCATTAATATATTCATCAGTTTTTTATGAATACACAATAAATGTTTGTTGAAAGAAATAATTTAAGCAACTAGTGGACAAGGGGAGCTGAATCCCAAAATGAAGTGTTGAATTGTAAAGGGTCGGATGAGAGGAAAGGGTGTCATAGACACAGCCAAGGCAAAGCTTGGAATCAACATGACTTATATGTGAGATAGTTGGAAGATTAGCCTGGATGGAATGTCCCAGAGAAAAAGATAATCTACAGAAAAATAATGGGCAAATTTATTAACTTGTCGTGTTTTATAATTTTTATGTTTTGCTGTTTCTTAGTCTTCTCCCATTCACGACTCTGTCCTATGATATTCAGTTATGTGTACAATAATGCAGGTTATCACATATCAACTAAACTAATATGCTTTTTCTCTGATATAAGAGATACCTTCTGAATACTCTGAAAAGCTCAATGCCATTAAAGTCTTTATCTCATGTGGTTTATATGCAGTAAGAATCTTTCAGAGCCATTTTATCTGAAGCTACTAACGCAGGGATGCTCAAGTTTTAGCGTGCATTAGAATAACCTGGAGAACTTGCTACAGTATAAATTGTTCTGCCTCATCCTCAGAGTTGCTGATTTGATATGTCTGGAGTGAGTCCCCAGAATCTGCATTTCTAATAAATCCCCAGGTGATGCTCGTGCTGCTGGTCCAGGAGCCACACTGTGAGTACAAGTGTGCTGACACCATTGAGCCACATAAAGCACTGAACTATTTTGAAATTTGAGCATATTTTCTTTTGGTAGAATAATTTTCTAAAATTTATATTTAGTTGTGCCTTTTACCCATGGCAGTATATTATTTGAAATAACTTATAGGAAAAATACCTTTTCATTTATATTTTATCTTAGCTCTGAGTTTGCTTATCTTGCTATTAAGACTAACTGTTTTGGGAGGCCTAAGCTACCATTAAACTTCACTAGTGATACAAATTTTCGAATACTTTGGAGAAATCCGATTGCATTATTCATAAATCTGAATGGGTTGAGGGGGACATTTTCTACAAGTAGTCTTTACAATAATAGGCCTTTCATAAATGCAAGCATTAATTTCTTCATCAGTACTTTTTGCTGTTCACAATATGTCAGCATTTTAAAATACATATGCAAATTTTATGGCTTTTTACCTTTGTGTTCATGTATCTCTTTAAAGGAACTACACATCACTTCAGATTCCTGTTAATTTTTATCTGCTTTTGCCTCCTACCTAAAAGTCACTCCAAGTATTACATGGCACTACTCCTGACAAGTACCTGAAAGGTGAAGTAATTTTCATATATTCTGTCTCATTCTTCTCCCATAGTGCTTTAATGCATTATGGACATTATATTACTTTGACTGATGAGAAGAGATAATGGGAAGATATTCACTGCATGGTGTCTAGCTTATCCATTCAACTCATCTTCTCTTTGAGTTCTGGGCTCTGTAGTCCACTTCCCCTTTTCCAGGCCTCATGTTATCTCTTTCCTTAAATAAAACTAGCATAAGGCTTTTGTGTGTGGCAGACTTCTAAATCTTGGTAATAACAGGGACTGGAAATGATGGTGATAGCCCAGCCCAGTACCACAAATAACTCATGGCTGAATATCACACCATGGTGTTTTCAGTTCCTTAGCAATGCCTTCTCACAAGGAATTTTCCCTTAGGCCTCCCTATTAGTTATATCCTGGCTCCTCTTCTCCCACCTTTCAGCTCTCATCCCTACTTCCCCTTTTACTAGTCTCCCTCTCTTCAGCCACCTTAATCTCTCTTACTGTATTTTATAGAATAATTCAGCTCTCTTCTGGCTCTCATTCACTTAAATTATGAGCAAGGTTCCTCACATTTCTACATTAAAAAGCTAGTCAAGGCTCATAATCATGATATTTTTCTGAGCAAACAAGCTATCTACCTCTGAGGTGATTTGGATCATTGCCCTAAAGAAGAAGAAATGGCTGCAGTCAAGGTTATTTTAAGTTCCATTTTTTACTTCCTGCTTTATTTGTTATAGGAAAGACAGTAGGGCCAGTAGGGCCACTTGCCACTAAGAGTATTTTTTGTGGGTTGGCCCAAGTCTGGAAAAGAAAACTAAGGTGAATGAAAGAATGCACTGGTGCCCTAGAAGTCAGATACCTGGTCCTAGCTCTGCTTTTATTTCTCAGTGCAGTCTTTAACAAGTCACTTCACAGCTCCCTGGCTGTGCTTATTCCATTTATAAATTAAAGGAAATGGATCAGTGCTCTCCAAGCTTTAGCAGAAACTTAGACAAAAACACTTCACAGTGGCTCCCACTGAAGCAAGGAAGGTGTTCAGACCCACCTTCCTCTCTTCTCCGAGGTCTCTTCAGGTCCCCACAACAAAGATTCTGAAGACAGTGATCTAGATGGTTTTCATCCACAGTTGTTCCCTGTTTTTCTAGAGTTTCTGACTGGAATTTAGTTTACTATATTTGGTCCTTATAAGTGGAATGAGGGTAGATAGACGAAAGGCTGAAAGAGAAACTATACATGGTCCAGCATAGCTGAAGAATTTTGAAATTATCTGATGTTCAGTAATGAGTTTTTTGTGGCCCAGGGCTAAGTTGTAATCAAATATCCTCTCCCCCCACCCTATGTAGTTCCAATATTTAAAAGTCTTTCACAGGTCTGGCTAATTTTAGTAAAGATTTCCCTGTCGAAACATATTTTCTAGAAAAGGAGACTGAAAGGTCATTTTGATTGAAATTTGACCTTTGGTAGTTGGTGATAATTGATTAACATGTTTATTGTCTTACAATCCCTGGACAATCAATATTATGCTTACAAAAACCTATTTCACTAGCAAATGACTCCATGAGAAAAGAAGCAATCACTGAAACCTGTGTAGCAGGGGTTGTTGATGTACCACACAACTGTCCAATCCCTCAGGCACTTGATAGCCATTCATTTGTAGAAGAATCTCCTGCACTTGTGGGAGACCTGAATCAAGTTGGGTATGTGGGGTAGAGAATAGAACTTCAGTCCGTGGATGCAGGCACAAGTGAAAGTGAGCTGATGCCCCCAGGGACAACCTTCAACAAGTGGTATGCAGGAGTATATAGGTTAACTTTCTAGCCACCCCAACCTTTGGTGGCATGACTTTCAGGCAAGTTCCTTGCAGTTTCTCATTGTATCCCAAAAGGGACTGAGTTCCATTTGCCCAAAAGCAGTATTATACATTTGATGTTTTTTCCTCATTCTTTGTCTCACTTTTGTACCCTGGGATTATCTTGCAAATAGTTATCTGCCCCCAAGTCCTTGCTTCAGGATCCACTTTAGGGAAAACCCAAATTAAATCAACTTTCCTGCTATTACAGTTTCAGATACTAAGTATTAAATAGATAATAGTACCCTATTCTGAATTTGGCAATAGCTACTAATTTTATATTTATGCTATTGTTTCAATCCTATTGTGTACTTGATGGCACAAGCTGAAATGAAGCAGGATATAGGTAATTATATTTTTAAAAGAATTACAAATGTCCCTGTGTAGTGTGGTTCAGTGAATTGAGCACCACACTGCAAAGCAAAGGGCCGTTGGTTTGATTCCCAGTCAGGGCGCATGCCTGGGTTGGGGGCTAAGTCCTCAGTAGGGGGTGAGTGAGAGGCAACCATACATTGATTGATGTTTCCCTCCCCTACTTCCCCTCTGTCTAAAAATAAAATAAATAAAATGTTTTTTAAAAGGAATTATAAATGGATGTACATATGAAGTACATAATTAAAACATTTTTCCATATTAGGACCTGGAGCCAGTTTGTTGAGGATTTTTAATTCATTGGGTGTAAAAATTCAATGCAGCTTTATTTTTTACCATTTAACTGTCCTTTAACTATATCAAACTTCCTTTCCCACTGATCAGACACTACTTTTATGATATCTTAGCCACAACTTTCATCATATGTTGCATTCCTACAAAGAATCATTTCATTTCAGAGAATTATTTCCTCTGTATTAAGAGGGGAGGAAATAATCTCTCTTCATGAACACTCCTAAAAGACGGGCAAACTTTCTTTGTTCTGCATATTCTCCAAAGATTGACTAGGAGAGCAGGGAGGTGTTGATTGAGGGGACTGTATGGGTGGCAGTGTCCTGGCACCCTTCGGTAGGACTAGAGGCAAGAGGCTGGCTTCCACTGTTATTGGCACAGTGTTGGTGGTCACTCAGTGAACTTAGTGTATGTCTTTAACCTTGGGCCTTAAAATATCATCTACATCTGTTGTGGTATGTTCACTTAGTCTAACAGTAAGTTAATTTATACCTCCTGAGTTCACATCAACAAACCTGTTATTAGGATATGTCAGTTTGAGTTTTAGAGTTATTTACTTTATTCATTTTAGTTATTAGGTGTGATTTACTTACAATTCAATCAGAGTTGGATGAAAATGAGTGGATGAAAAAATCAGAAGCATCAAAAATCATGGTTAGAATAAGACCACTGTTGGTATTAATGCTGGGAATTATGAACAGGACAAGATTAAATTCAGGAATATTAAAAATTAAAAAAATGGTAAAATGCTGGGACCATGAACCTATGTGAGGGGTGATAGACAAAACTAAAATGATTATTCCCAGAAAAGTTACCTTATGTTAGTGGCAGCAGTACCTAATAATTGGATACAGGAGAAATGTAACAGATTCATTCAACCAGGAGAGTCCTTACAGTCTTGGCTCCTCTGTGATAGTTGGGCCACTAGGATTGATCTCAGAAGACATACAAAAAAGAAGAGTCATTTTTGTTCATAAAAAATGGTTGTTTTCTTCTTCAAATGATTCCATCTCAAACATTGTGATAAAAGCATTTCTGCTAAGCTTTTTGTGTGTGAGAATTTTCTAGGTGGTGACTGCTTTTCTACCCAACCAGTCTCCTCATCATCATTTTATTTCCTGAATCCCTCTTCTGTCCCACATCCCTCTCTTCCTCACTTCTTTCTCACCTTCATTCCCCCTTTATTTTACTCTCCCTTCTTTCTCCCTAATTTCTAGGGCTAAACTGGCTGTCTTCTTATTACAGGGCTCACCCTTTTCTTGAGAATCTCTGGTCATTAGTTTCATTCATGATTGCTTTGTGAAATTTGCTTTTTAATTGCTTTATGCATTATAGAACATTCCTTTTTATTTTATTTTTTAATTGATTGAAGTTATTGGAGTGACATTGGTTAATAAAATCATATAGGTTTCAGGTTTACAATTCTATAATATATCATTTGTATATTGTATTGTGTGTTCACCACCCCATGTCAAGTCTTATTCCATCACCGTTTATCCCCCCTTTACCCTCCTCTATCTACCCTTGGTCATCCTTTCCCTCTGGTAATCACCATACAGAACATTTATTATTTCCTCCAGGGAATTGATAGCATTGTAACTGGATTTTGTATCTTTTCTGTTCCATAGAATATTTCTGAAGAATAGACTTATTTTGGGCATATGTGATGGTTACTCTCTCCCTGTTTGGTAGAAAGTTTGGTAGACATTGATTTGGTAGACAGACTTTGGTGTAGATTCTGATTTAACCACTTTGTAATGTTGGTCAAATTACTAAATTATTATTTATTCAGTTTTCTTCTGTAAGTGAGGATAATAATAGTTACCTCCAAAGATTGTTGTGAGATTAAATAAGATGAACTATTTCATTTTCTGTTAACACTTTGACTAGAATTTTCTCTGTTCCTACTCCATTTCCCATTTATTTTCCAGATATTTTTATAGATTTTCAAACTAGACCAAAATACCAAATGACTCAGTCAGTTCAAGTCCAAATGTCTAGAGTTCCAAATCTCTTTTTACCATAGTTTCTTTTTTTTTCAGCTGAGGAAATAATTTTAATTGGGTATGTTCTATTCCAGGAAGTTTCAGAATTGTCAGGATTTTTTTTCCTTATTCCCTAGTAGTTATTTAATTTAAATTATGAATAATTTCTCCCAATGTTATATAAGCAATGTAAGGTACAAAAGTGACAGGGAAACTCATATGACAAAGTAGTCAAGGTTGACAACAACAAGAGGTATAATGTGCTTTTGTTTACTAGAAATACTAATTATTCTTCTGGAATTTTACAGTCCAAAAGCATCACTGAAGTCAACTCTTTCCATTGGTTTTATATATCTATTTGACCAAATGCTGATTCCCAGATTTATTGCTTCTTATTTTGGTAATATTTTAGAAATGTCTGCCCTCTCCTTTAGTTCACACAGGAATCTTGATACTTTCCCTGTCAATTTAAAAATATTTGTGACAGGCAGCTGTGTCAGAGTTGGGAAG